TAACACATGTACGTATGTATTCGCATTTGTGCAAAGTTGTTGATATATGATATACACACACATATTGTACAGTTGAGGAAATTTAAGTGAAATATTCGCCAATTGAAGGAAAAACATATAGATATATAAATATATACATGTATATGTATATGTATATACATGTATGCTTGTATAATTTTGTGAATGAGTCGAATGAGAGGGACCAGAAATGAGAGATGCCAGACAGCAGATTTACAAGGAAAAATTGCCAGTGTAACGTATTACGTAGAAATTTGGGCTCTCGAGAAGAAGAAGCATACATAAGCAAAAGCATCTTATGTACAAACAATTTGCAGGTATTTAAGGCGAACCCAAGAATTGTGTCGTGCATTAGTAGATATTCTAGAACTAACTAATTCCTACATATCTAGGTTAAAGCTTAAAACTGTAAGTCATTCGAGTCATTCAAGTCATCAGCTTTACATTACATGACATTCTTTTTTTTTTTAATTAATTATTTTGTGCTGATTCTATTAAAGAACTTTAAGCACAGGTATTTCAACATTGACATTGTCCTCCTTTTTTTTACACAATCTCAACAAGACTTTATTGACATAGTTTCAATACACACAGCATACTCTTTAGGTAGCATTACGAGCTTTGGCATGCTCAATGTACGAACTTAATTGAATAGAAAAGAAATGGATATTAATTAAGATAAGCAAAACCGAAAGGTAAATTGAAGAATTACCATTTAGGCTATTAAAATTGTTTACCTTGTTACGGTAAATTCCTAACGGATGGGACAACACAAGACAAATACTGACACGCACACACACACACACACACACACACAGACACACACATACAGTCAAACAGAGTCATGTATGTAAATAAGAATTTACTTTTCATTGAAATTCTTGGAGTTTTATCACATTTGCCTCTTTCAGTTCGTAATACATTTTTATAACTTTATTATGGCCTTTCTACCTGTATTTAATGCTCCGAGCAAATAAAGCACAACAAACACAAAAACAAAACGAATAAAGTTAACAATAAGCAATAAACTAAGAGGAAAAGCGACAACAATTGAAACTTTGTTAGAGTCGTCTTTTTTTCTTCTTCTTCTTCCCCTTAATTTTTTTTTTTTTTTTTTTGCAGCGCAGTTTGATTGAAAACTTCTTGTCGCCTTGTCGCGGCTGATTGCAACGGTAGAAGTGGGAAGAATAGAAGAAAGGGGTGTGGAATGGTTGAAACTGGTTTCTGACATCTGCGAGAGGGAGAGAGGGAGAACGAGAGGAGCAGAGGGAGAGGGAAAGGGACAGGCATAGAAGACCAAGCGATGTCTCGTGGCAATCGGTGTTAACTGATTGAGAGAAACAAGAAAGCTACACACACACACAAACAAATATATTTATGTGTGTGTGTGTGTGTGTGTGTGTAAATGTGTGTACATAGTGAAAGATAAACGATAGAGCCAGAGGGAGATTGAGAGTGTGTGAGAGAGAAAGAGAGGGAGAGAGTCACACAAATGTGCATAGAACGGATCGAATCGATTGAAAATCCCCGACAGGATTGCGTAATTGCCGCTTGTCGCAGCGCTGCGCACAAATGGGGATGGTGGGGGACAAAACGGCATAGGATAAAAGAAACGGAAAAGCAAGCAAGTACCAAGGTAAACACACTCAGCGAAACGGCGAGCGAGTGGAGAGGAAAACAGTAGAAACCACTACGAACAACAGCAGCAACAACAACAACAGCAACAAAAGCAGCACACGGCACACACAGACAAACAAAAAGAATGGCCCCAAAAAGAAAAAGAAGAAACAACAAAAAAGAGAAAAAAAACTGGTAGGACAACTTTTTGTTTCGCCTGATAGAAATCCACACACACACACACACACAAGTCAAGTCAAACTCGTACTCAAACTTAAAGTCAAGTTAACAAAAAATAAATAAAATTAAATACAACAACAACAAATCCCCCAAGCGGACTTTTTTGCTATTGCTAATGCTATTTATTGCTGACTTGACTCTGCGACTGCGCTGGCTGCAGCAGCAACAGCGATCGCGCCTAATTTTGCATAACAGACTGTTGTTATGTTAGGTTAACAGTCGAAAATAATGGTGGGACAGCAATAACAGCGCTCAATTGGTCGCGCTGCGTCGTCACGACTTATGAGAGCGCTAGAACAGTTGGAGAGAGCGGTAGTCTAGGAGAGTGAGCAGGACATGGTATACTATAAATGGGCAAAAAACAAAAAAACAAAAAACATTGCGCAAGACGAAGTCGATCGGGTTCTGTGAACCCCACCTAACACACGTACACACATTACTTATAAAAGTTACAAAAGCAGCGACGGGATCTTGTTATTGTTGTTGTTATTGCTTTGACTCGCTTCAATAGACAGCAGCGCACACGCATAGTCATACAACTGTGTGTGTGTGACAGAACATGCAAAGGTATAAAATAGGTGTGTATAGGTGCATGCATGTGGGTAGGTAGAAACCAGTATGGTTTTGTTGTATACAATGTATTGGGTAGTCTAAAAAGTTTTTTCGTATTTTGCCAATAGATGTCGTTGGCGTCGTATATCTCCAGTGCTACCAATCACATTGTGTACACATTGTGGTGTTCGATTGGTAGCACTTTAAGCTTCGATTGCCAAAAAAAAAAAAATGTAATTCAAAGAATTTGAAAAAAGTTACAGCTGTTCAAAAATGAGTGAAAATAAAGAAGAAATTCGCTATATTTTGAAATTTTTGTATAAAAAAGGGAAGAATGCCACGCAAGCCACTAATGAAATTTGTGATGTTTACGGTGACGATGCTCTATCAGTTCGTGTAGCACAACAATGGTTCGCACGCTTCCGTTCAGGAAATTTCGATGTGAAAGATGCACCTCGCTCTGGTCGACCAATCTTTGAAAAAGTCGATGAAATTATGGAAAGGATTGACCAAGACCGTCACATAAGCAGCCATGACATCGCAAATGAACTAAACATTCATCATCAAACGGTTCTGAACCATTTAGAAAAGGCTGGCTACAAAAAAAAGCTCGATGTATGGATACCACATGAATTGTCTGTGAAAAATTTATTGGACAGAATTAACATTTGCGATTCTTTGCTGAAACGAAATGAAATCGAACCATTTCTGAAGAGAATGGTAACAGGAGACGAAAAATGGATCAAATACGACAATAATGTGCGAAAAAGATCATGGTGCAAGAGTGGTGAAGCTCAACAAATGGTCGCAAAGCCAGGATTGACGGCTCGAAAGGTAATGCTGTGTGTTTGGTGGGATTGGAAAGGAATAATCCACTATGAGCTGCTTCAGCCTGGTCAAACGATTGATTCGACACTTTACTGTGGACAACTGATGAGATTGAAGCAAGCAATCGAAAAAAACGGCCAGAACTGATCAACAGAAAGGGCATCGTATTCCATCAGGACAACGCCAGACCACACACATCTTTGATGACCCGGCAAACACTGAGAGAGCTTGGCTGGGAAGTTTTAATGCATCCACCATATAGCCCTGACCTTGCACCTTCGGACTACCATTTATTTCGGTCAATGCAGAACTCCCTTAACGGAGTAAAGTTGGCTTCAAGAGAAGCCTGTGAAAATCACTTGAAGCAGTTTTTCAAAGAGAAACCACGAAAGTTTTACACGAATGGAATTATGTCTCTAGTGGAAAAATGGCAAAAGGTGGTCGACCAAAATGGTGCATATTTGATTTAATAAAGTTTATTATAAATATTTAAAAATATGATTTGAAGTTTCATTACAAATACGAAAAGACTTTTTAGACTACCCAATATTTGCTATTTTCATTTGTTGTATTTACGTCGGATACCCTTTATTTAATGAATAGTGCTAAAATAGTTGGTAACTAATATATCCATAATCATGATCAGTCTAAAGCTAAAAATAAATAAATTTTTTAATATTTAGCAATATTCTTTTTTAAAGTGTAATTATTTCCAATTATTTCATACGAGGTATCTGCGAGTCGAGCGCAATAAGATCGTACCTGTATCAGTTGCGTTTGTCACCATCGTAAAGTTGGCTTGATTAAAGAACGCGCGTGCAGTGCATGAAAATAAGAGAGTCCCGGTGCAAAGGAAGAGCGAGAGAGCACAAGAGCACAAATGCTCGAACCAAAGAGTAAATCAATGCAACTTAGTAAAGCAGTAACCGACGAGTACACGCATATGCACGCACTCTTACACAGCCAAGACCCCTCACATGTTTGTTTACACACGCAAAGAGTTCTAGCTGTTTCTCTTTAAATGCTGCAGGATATTTTGAGGCATAAATCAATTACTAGAGCAGCTGATTAACCATGCACATATACAAGTGTGCATATGTAATTGTACATGTATATACAAATGTATATATTCTATTTCCTAATTTGTTTCGTCTCTCTTTCAATGCTGCTTTCATATTCTAATTTCTCTGGAACTCTTTCGCCATATTCAACTTTCTGCATGCTGTGCTAAACATGTATCGATTATGCAATAAACAGGGTATAGCAGAAGATGAATCATTTACAATCCATATAATATTTCCGGTTTTAACAATGGGAAAATCAAGCAAATCACATTTACTTAATTATATACATATCTCTAGCCATTCACAAATTCAAAAATTAAGTCAATACAAGATAAGGAAAATAAATGGAAGTACGATATCAACATTTCGTAACGTGGGAAATACGTTATATGTACGTATGTATGTGTATATGTGGGTATGTATGTATGTTTGGTTTACGTTCTATATTTATGTATTGCTAAATTAATATATGTATGTATTCTCAATATGCAAATAAATATTAAGATGATGTGCTCTCTTAACAGCTCTCTTATCGGTTACGATCGATGGCTGGCAGATAGAGAGAGCCAACGCATGCGTATTGCTTTGTAATTAAGAGTGTAAGAGTAAACAGTGTGTGAGTATGAGAGTGAGATTATGAAGTGTAGAAAGATAGAAAGAGAAATGGTGTAAATAACGCACCTGCTTCTGGTTTGCCAACAACAGCGACGTCCAATTCGCTGTTGCTGAGATTGTTCTGCAATTGCAGCAGCCCCGTGCCGCAAGTGCTTGAGCTGGTGATGTTTTTCATGCAGCCAGCTTTTTACTGTAAGTACCTATGTATATATGTATATGTGTAAGTACGTATGTACGTCTGTATATCGGTATGTATTTCTGTATGCAATTGTAAATGGGATGCTGATGTCACACCAACATACAAGAATGAACGAACGTTTAACTATTGCTATTTTAGCCGATGTTAACTGTTTTCACTGTTGTGTTTTACTTGCTCTTATCAGCATTGATAACGCCCCACAGCGCTTGTACGCGTTCCACTTGTTACCGTGTTTCAAATCACTTTTTTTTTTCTTTTTTCTTTTGCCGTTCGCACTTCACATTATATGTTGAGAACTAAAAAAAAAATAAAATAGAATTGCAAAGATTTATGAAATGCCAGTTCAAAGGCAATTGGAGTTGAGATTTTTGTTCATGTTCCCCTCTTTTCCTTTTTTTGAAACGTACGCGCGCGCGCCTCTCTGCTGTCTCTCTGCGTCTGCGTGAGTGTATGTGACGCGTTAACAGCATATATATGCGTATGTATGTATGTGTGTATGCGCCTTTCAACAGAAAAAAGGTGCAGCAGGCGTTGCGAGAGCAGAATTGTAAAAAAGAGCAAAAGAGCGCAAAGAATGGACGAACGCGCGACGCTTTGGTAATTTTCTGCAGTGCTCGGGTCGCGCTTAATTGAAGCTTTTGCTTGAAGCGCAATGTTGTTGTTGCATATATTGTTGCTGTTGTTGTTTTTGCCTGACCCACGCACAGTGGCTTTTTTTTTTTATACATATGTACATATACAAATCTGTTTTGTTTTCCTCTTTGCACCAGTGCAAAAAAAAATCAAACAGACACAGATACAGGCACGCGTATATGTGTTTGTGCATGCGTGTTTTTTTTTGTATTCTTTTTTTTTTTTTTTGAGTGGCTCCACTCTTAAAGATGTTAAACTCGTCGCACACACACAAAATTTATCTTGTATTGGGGTTTACATACATATGTGTGTGTGTATTTATGCAAAATCAGATGTGTGCATGTATCAGCATTTAGCTACACACACATACACGCGAAGTAATTGCAATTGAATGAAATCTGGGAATATGATTTTTGTTTTTAATTTTTTGTTTGCAGTTTTTTTTGTAGCTGCTGGGCCGCGTGGGCGCACTTGCATTGCATTTAGTTTTGTTTTTTTAAGAAGCAGTGCATATGTATATGTATGCACAACATGGCCAGCACACACGCGCAGCGCCTAAATTTATCTGAATGAGTTCACAAACACACACACACACACATAGCAAACATTGTAACAGATAAAAACATTGATACAGCAGCAAAGCATTCATAAAATTAAAATCTCTTTTAAGTTTCTGTATGTTTTAAGTTAACACATGAAATACACAAATCAGCGCAAAAAAAAACAACAGCAACATAAATGTATTTGTACATATGTATATATAAAATTAACATGAAAAAAAGACGGCAAAAATAAATAAAACAATTACATATCTACATACAATAAAAGATTTATAAATGTGTGTGCATACACACACACACACACACGCACGCACGCAAAACAATCGCACAGAGTCCCGCACGTCGAGCTTGCGAAGAGTGTGTGTGTGGGGGGTGAGCAGAGAGAGAGTGTATGACGAGACGAGGCGAGGCGATCACGCAGACGCGGCAACGATGACGACAACGAAAAAATCGCGGAAACACTGCGAAACACGCAACGCGCAGAAGCGAGAGAAACTCATCGACTGAATCTGAATCAATACAAAGAACGACAGTAGCTCGCTCGCTGCTGGCCCGACTGACTCTAGCAACACACAACACGGCTCCGTGTCTGGGCTCTGTTGCTGCTGCCTGTTTGACTGGCTAGCTGGCTGGCTGACTGGCTGGCTGGCTGGCTGTGTATTTAGTTTGCGCTAACACAGAAACGATGACAACTACAACCGCACAGCAATATGATCAAGCCCCAAGCCGAATATACACAACATCTCACCAATACCAGCAACAGCGGAACGTGCACAAATACACACACGACGCTCTCTTCATTCTTCTTCGTGCGCGCCTGCTGTTGATGTCATATACATACATACATACGTATACGTGTGACTAATACAGCGTGTAGTGCCGAATCGAAACCGAACCCAGCCGAACACTGAGCCGAGTTGAGCTGCGCTGTTGCCTTTTGCCGCTCATTTACTTTGCACTCGATTTCGCTCACTTGTTGTTGTTGGCGCGATCAGGGCATAGAAGAACAACAACAACACAGCAGACACGCTGCGATTGCCTCTACGTCTGTTTGGGCGAGTGTGTGCGTCGCTGTGTATTTATGTTTGTGTTTGTAAAGAAAAGCAAAGTACCAGACATCGTCGTCAGTGGCGCTGTGGGGACGGGGTAGCAGCATTTTGCATCTGTACCCAAAACAGGCTAAAAAGAGTCCACTAAAGCAGGTAGACCAACAACAGAAACATGTATGCACATGCATACATATGTACATACATACATACACATTTACATACATATATACAAACATACATCCATACATACATACATGCAATACAGGCTTATTCCAGAATATGGGGCAGGCTTTGATTCGGGTAACACTCTGTTACACGCATTTAAAGGATTTACAGATTTTATAATTCATAATCTGTTAAGCTTAACATAATCCGTACTGTTGCACGTTTTCCATTTTAAAAAGGAATATAGCTCGAAGTTTTATTACGTGAAAATTTGACTAAAAGTCATATACAAATATAAATAAAATATAAGCGTTAATTAACGATCAGTTGGCAAATAAATGAATACATGGGTAAATTTTATGACTGGGATAAATTCAAATGAAGTGGTAATCATTTGTTAAAATACAATAGAATTAAATGCTGATGCTGGAGAACTTTTCTATAGACAACTAAATATATTCATACAAACATACATACATAATATGTACAAACACACACAAACGCATACATACAGGCAAAGTTAGCAAGCAAGTTTAACAACTACCAGATATACATACATATGCATGTGCTTGTGTGTCTGCATGTGTATGCGTTTTTCTATGTCTGTTTGTTTGTCTGTATTGCGGCTACTCTCAGACGACACTCACATGTGCTGTGTGCTTTACTTTGTTGTTGTTGCTGCTGCTGCACTGCTGCACGTCGCGTCGTCAGCTGTGGAAAGAGAGAGGCTGCTTAATGCAGGTGGCGGTCGGTGGATGGTGAAAGAGCAGAAGGAGTTGACTTCGCTGCCGCTGTTGCTATTGTTGTTGTTGTTGTTGCTGTTGTGCTGGGCAATCGCTTGGTTAACTGATGATGCAGCAAATAAGCGGATAAGGCGTCTGATCTTGTCGCTCATTGTTAGAAAGGAACAAGTTTTTCTTTCTTCTTTTCAATATAATCTTTTACCCATTTTCCTAAGCAGCGCCAGCGTTCAACTTTGCATTCGTATCTGTGTGTGTGTGAGTCTTCGTGAAAGAATAAGAGCGACAGTGAGAGCGAGAGAGAGAGTCGAAAAGAGAGTGGCAGTGCCAGTTGGACAGAGAGCCCATATGCTGGGCGTAACAACGGCTCTCTTTTGGAGCTCAAATAAAAAAGAAGAAACAAAAAAAGCTTACGCGCGTGTTGCTTGTGCTGGAATCAGATCGCTGCTAAGCTGTGCGCGCTCTTAACAGCAACTCTGTTAAATTAACAGACATTTTTGAAATATTTTCACCATGAGTGTACAGCAGCGGCCAGTAGCAGCAGCAGCAGCAGCAGCAGCCGCCACGGCAACAACAACAATAGCAACAACATTAGCAGTAGCAGCAGCTACTGCGCGCCAATTGCTGACGTTGAGTTGCTGTTGTTTACACGCACACATACACACACTTACACTTAGGTTTGTACATTTCTATACGTAAACCTTTATGTATGTATGTTTGTATGAATATACATTTCATTAGTACTGGTAAGGTGACTTATTTATTTTTGTCAAAGCTCACACCTGTTTGCGTGTGTTTGTATTTAAGTGTATGCGTGTGTGTTTGTGTTTGTTAGCCACTAAATGGTCAATAACAGTTCAAGCTCTTTTTTTTTACCAAATTTCTATTCTCAGCGTAACTGGTTTTAGCTTGATTACATTCACACATACATACATACATATGTATATATATGAATTTATGTTTTTATGCGTCTATCTCGCTTGAAAGCTCGTATTGTTTTGTTAAGCTGCTATCGATAATAATTTGCAGCTATCGATTAATTTGATATATGTTGAGTTCTATGGGATTTGGCTTACATATGTATGTATATGTACATACATATATACATATGTAATTATCATAACTAGACGGATTAAGACATCTGTATATAAATATATATGAATATATGAATATATTGACATACATACATATATGTTTATGTATGTATGAATTATCGTTTTCAATTTCAAAGTTCTAAAATTCGAAATTTTACTATTGAAAATTGGTTTTTCTTTCTATATACTTTCAATTTAAAAAAATGTCTTCTCAAGATTTTCGATTTAGTTGCAACTCTTAAACTTATTAATATTTAGATGTAACTCTAGCAATAAAGTTCATTCATTTGATAATAAAACTGTAATAAAAATATTGGCATTAAAAAACTTGCTGTACGAAAATTATTTTTGAAGCAAATGTTGCGCATTATGTGATATGATTATAATAATAAAGTTATATTGTGAGATCAGTCATCGATGAAACTAAGGGAACTATATTTTGATTGGTTATTTATTACAAATATTATAAAATAAATAAATAAATTGTATTCATATAATTTTTTAAATATTATACTTATTTTGTACTCTTTTTTTTACATTTTTTATAATTTTTTATTTTTATATATTTTATATTATTTATTACTATTTTTTATATTTTATTTATTTTATATATTTTATATTATTTATTACTATTCTTTTTATACTTCAGTAAAGCAATGCTTAGATAGCATTAAAAATAACAGACATATATTTATAATATGTATATGTATAATATATTATGTTTATTATACCCTCTAGAAGGTCATAGAAAACAAATCTATTTAATAATAAAATGATTTTAATTGACAAAAAAAAAAAAAGTATATTGAAAATGTGTTTAAATTTATATCCGACATACAGTGCGTATACGAGACATGCGCATGTATACGCCTATGTGTGCGTGTGTGTGTGTGTATTTGCAGGCAGTTTATCAGCTGCCATAACAATGATGTGCTATTCTTTATGAACTTAACATTATGTGTGAAAGGCAAAGCAGATGAAGATGATGAAGAAGAAGCAGGCGCAGCACGCAGCACGCAGTGGCAGCGGCAGCGGCAGTGGCAGCGGCAGTGGTAGAGGCAGTGACAGTGGAAATACAATACAAATAACAATAACAATAACGACTATATCAACAGCGACAAGAACAGCAACAACAACATTAAGAAGAAGAACAACTATAATAATAATAATAATAACAAGTTGCGTGAGACGTTCTGCTAGAATGTGTGTGCGTGTGTGTGTCTGTGTGTGTGTAGAAATTAATAAGTTCCAGTTAAAGACCAACTGAATCATTTGTTGTCGCACAATCAGACAAGCAAACATAAAACACAGATGAACACAAATACAAACACAAACACTGGAAAACACACACACACACATACACTAACGAAAAATAAAACAGCTGCGAATTTGATGTCCAAGACGGAATTGGAGTGAAGAGAGAGTGTGTGAGAGAGCGGCCAGGAAGATGGCGAACGGCTGTTCGAGTGCAAATGCGAGTGCGAGCGAGAGGGCCATACAATATTAGACTATGCAGAAATTGAAACGATTTGATCAGTGAGAGAGGGAGAAGAGAACGAGAGGGAGACCCTTCTTAATAACTTGCGGAGTTGCGTTAGCTACTGCATACGTATGTATGTATAGGAATTTATGCTTGGGTATGCCCGACAATAAGATACCCTGGGCTGCATATAAATTTCTATATGCTTTTGGGTATGCTCAACTAGAAGATACCCTGAGCAGCGTATGAATTTAACTTATGCCTTAACTTAGCTTATGCTCGACTAGAATATACCCTAAGCTGTATACTTATGCTACTGTATATACATTAAAATGTGCTTCAGTTGGATATACACGAGTAGAAGATACCCTACGTTGCATGAGATTGTGCATATAGCTCAAGTTTTGGGTATGCTTGAATAGTAAATACCCTTAGCAGCTTATGAAGCTCTATATGCCCTGCTATACTATATCCTGCACTGTATATTAATTTTTATTTGCTCTTGGGTATGCTCAACTGATGATGCCCTACATACGCTAATGCAAAATAGATGATCTGAGCTGCATATTAGCGGGGTATGTCCTGCTAGAATACGCCCTGAGCTCCATTTGATTATGCATATGAATTTAAATGTGCTCTAGATGGGTATGCTTAACTACCAAATACCCTGAGTAGCATATGGAGATGTATACACCTTTCAGTTGAGTATGTCCGACTAGCATATATATAGATAAAAAGGGATATATTTCTATTTCTATCTGTCCGTCCGTCCGTCTCACCTAATCCGCGGCAAGAATACGCCACACTCTGCATGACAAATATATATTTATTTATCGCTGTATGAAGGTTTATATGCAAATGTATCGAAATATAAAGATGATTGCTCCTGCCTGCCTGCCAGCTAGTTAGCTTTTGGCGATTCACTCAGATCAGGTCAGATCAGATGGTGTAGTATGACGCTCCGGACATGTTGCCTGTCAATGCCTTTATGGCATTTTCCGAATCAAGGGAGCCCGTTTTGTTTTGGTTATTGTATAAGTCAGGTGACGTCTCTCGGCGTTCGGCTTCATGGCGGCAGCGCGGTCGCCGCAGCACATGGGCAGTAGTATCATCCGGCTTTTCGATGGGCTTGCGCGGATCCTGGAAGCCCAGAAAGACGTCCGTCTTCAGATTGCGATATAGCGGTACGGGCAGACAGGCCGCGTAGAGTATGCGAGTTTTTTCATTCAGTTTCCTTTTCTTTTCAATGGCTTGAATGTGTCGCGACTCCTGCATCAGTTGTTCAGTCTCTGAGTCATCCTCTTCCTCCATCTTCTCCTCCTCCTGCTCTTCGGAATCGCCCGTTGACGAGCTTGGCGTCGGCAACTCCGGCGGCTCACCCAAAAATGCCTGCTGCAAATACTCAGAGGGCTGACGCGTAAAGGACAACATCTCACAGAATACCAAATCCTGGATGGTATAGAAATCACTGAGCACATGCTTCACATAGCTGGCCATCAGGCCAGTGTAGGCGTCCGGCCAATTGGATAGGGAGAGTACACACCAGAGCTGATACGAGTGGACACCGAGCGCCACATGATTCATTTTCTTCTGCAAATGCTCCAGGCTGCTGAGCAGCATATAGTTCTTGCGGTATGTCTCCATTACCGCGGGCAGCTCCCATTGGGGCGGATCGAACGGATGGCTCCGGCAGAGCTGGGCACAGCCCCAGATGTAGGGCAAGACGTTACGCTCTTCGACCACATTGCTGTCGCGCTCGCGACTGATCGTCAGGCGAAAGAACGAGATGAGGCGGCGCACCAGATCCAAATAGCGCTGGAAGAGCAATAGGACGGCTGCCACAGTATCATCGGCACCCAATATGCCCGACTTGAACAGGCTGCACAAATAGAACACGAACATCAGCTCATGGCCGGGCCCATAGTCATACTGCTGTAGGCTGCCAAACGAACGGGTCAGATATTGGGCCAGCTCATTGATGTGCTTGCAGTGGGGCTTCACCTGGAGCTCCAATATGGAGTAGACCCGCTCCTGGACCAGCTTCACCCAGTGCCGGTACGCCCGATGGCATTTCTGGCGCAACGACAATGTCGAATCCATCATATTGATCTTATCATTGCCGACGCAGCGTAACAAACCATGCCCAATGCCCAAGGGATGGCATTCCTGAACCAGACGCTCCAGCCAGTTGAAGATCTTGCTCAATTTCTCCATCTGCCTGGTGACGACAAAGTCTTTGCTATTCTGCCGGTGACCCTGTATGGCCATGCTGGTATTATTGATGTACGCGATCAAATCGTTGTAGGCGTGCGAACGCTTCCATTTCCCTAGATCCGCTGGGGAGCGAACCGGCTTCGAGAAGATATGTTGAGCGAATGACGTTGCCTTCAGGGCATCCTCGGTGGGATCGTCCACATTGTGTATATTTTTGCTGCTCATCTCAATGTCGTATATGCGCACATATACACACATATATATATATGTATATGTATATATATATATATATGTATGTATATATGCAGTTGAATCGAAATTGAATGTGTTATGGAATGAGTTTTGATACCGAGCACAGAGCCTACTTTTGAATTTTCTATTTTCCCTCCTCGTTGCCTAGAGCCTACTTAGTTAAATTTAAATGAATAAAACAGTTGACGTAGATTAGTTGATCGGGTTTCGAGTCTCGGTCTAATTTGTGCATTTTCTCAACGAATCTTTGGTCAAAGGCCAGCTCTGTTAATGGCATGTTACGTTGCTGTAACTGTAACAGTGGAGCTAACAGCAGCAATAAAATGGCAGTCAATTTCTCTGTCTCTCTGTATTCGATCTCCCCCTCTCACTCTCCCTCTCTTTGTATATTTTTATCTCTTTCACTCTCTCTACATTACCTTACATTAAACGTTCAATTCTTTTCTCTTTCATAACGCACTCTCTATATTTTTTTCTTTGCATATTTATTTTGCTATCTTCTCTGTCTATTTTTCTCCTTCTGTCTCCCTCCTTCTATCTTTCTCTTCCTTTCTACATCTCTCTTTTTCTTTTCTGCATTCGCTCGCTAATTTTCTCTGAGTAACTCACTCATTCTCTTTTTCTCTGTCTCTCCGTCGCTCTCCCTCTCTCTGAATTTGTTTTCCTTCTACTCCTTTTCTTCTTTGCCCTATTATTCCCCATCTCTTTCATGTTTTCCTCTTCTTTTCTTTATTTGCTGTTTCTCCTTTTACTCTTCCTCTTTCGACTCATCCTCCTTCTATTCGTCATTTTCATTCTCCTTCTACTCTTTCTCCTTTTACTCTTTCTCCTTTTACTCTTTCTCTTTCTAGTCCTCCTCCTATTCCTAATCATTCTAATCCTTCTGTTTCTCATTCTCCTTCTACTCCTGCTCCTTCTAGTCTTTGAAGTTCCCTTCCTACTTCTTCTTCTCTTTCTCTGTCTTCTTCTTTTTCTTTCTCTCGTCGTCGCTTTTCTCTTCCCCCCTCCCTCTGTCCCACCTTCCCATGCAATTCTCATAAGCTCTAGCTATGCTGTATTTCATTTTTTTCTATTTCCCAAGAAAACATTATATTTGATTTAGCTAATTAAATGAATACGCTTGTTTTTGTATACCTGCTAACTGGAACTGGCCTCTCACTAATTATGATCATAATAAAACTGTAAATAAAGTCATATATCCCTCTCTTTAGAATATATATTAGGAGTGGTCCTATCGCAATTCGCTCTCAGTCTCTCGCTCTCTTTCTCTCAGTCTTTCTCTTGTTCTCTATAGTGGGTACAACTGACGTAGCTCTGCCACTCAAAGTTTAGATAGCCCGATTTGAACGACATGGAGCAGTCGTTCAGTGAGCCCAATGACAAGATCCAGTGCCAGCTAGCTAAACGTCCAGTAAAGTTGTGCCTGTGCGATCCCTGATATATATCTATATATAATTAAATGCTTTAAGCACTTATTACAATCCCCTATAAGTACATATGTGTATAATATGAGAAATCCGCTGTGGTTCATATTTTGGCTGATTGTATTGATCTTAATCTCGTTCTTTGTGGCAATTATCGGAGCTTTCTTCTACATTTGGGCATATTTGTTGGCTCAATGCTGCAGCTGTTTTCGGGTGAGTTACCAACGAGTCTCTACTGTACTATATCAATAATAGTATTATATTTCCTGCAGAGTGCCGCCGACTTCTTCTTGAAGTGGCTGCAGTTTCCAGGGTATTCTGCGGCCGCCATGCTCAATTGCCAATCGTTGTGCTAGGCACAACGCCTATTGAAACCCAACAAATATCGAAGTATTTTCTGTTCATCGGCTCGCCCCAGCAGAGCTGGGCCAAAACACTTAACGCCCACATCGATGCAAGACAATCAGCGAGCGGCCAATAGATTAGCCTTTCAGATAAGTAAAAATAGGCTTCACATTGTGAACAGGGCACACAGACATGTTAACGATATCTTAACTTTTGTTTAATTTTCTTTATGTATATATAGAAAATATAAATACTTATATTGCATGAATCATCCAAGTATCCGTCACTTTGAAGCGTTTCTGTTGATTGTCTCAATACAACTTTCTTATCAAATATATTAATATTAAAAATTGTGTATTATTTAATTAGTCACAAAGTTACTATTATCGTATTATTTTATAGATATAAGTATAAATGTTTAATAAAATTGGTCTGCGTCAAGGGAATGGTATGGTGTAGTGATTTCATCAGTGTATATATGAGAAGAAGGATATATGACATAGGGTCTATAATCTAATTATAAATATAGATCTAGAATATTGGATATAAGAGCTTGAATCTACGAACTTTAACTGATTATCTATGATCTAGAACTTAGACTCTTCGATCTATTATCAACGCTCAAGAGGAACATATTATCTATACTCTGATGTCTTTTATTCATTGATATATATGACCTATAATTTATGATCTAGGATTCATGCTCCAGCATCGTTGATCTATGATCGATGATCTATGATCTATGATCTATGATCTATGATCTATGATCTATGATCTATGATCTATGATCTATGATCTATGATCTATGATCTATGATCTATGATCTATGATCTATGATCTATGATCTATGATCTATGATCTATGATCTATGATCTATGTTTTATGATCTATAAGCTATGAACTGGAGTCTATTATGTTTGATCTACAATCTAAGATTTTTAGCATAATGATATATGTGATTTATGATAATACGATCAGTGCTTTATGATCAGAGGAAATGCCGCCATTGTTGATCAAGTCTAAAAGACTTTTTATTTATATTTAAGTTAAGAGTAATTCATTTTTGTATCGTGTCATTCTTCTACTAACCCGATTTAACCAGGGTATCTGCTAGTAAATCACACTTCGAATCGAACTTTGAAGTATTCCAACTTTGTGCACTCGTAACTATGCAGAAAAGATATGATTAACGTCGCCCAGTTAGTTTTCAATGACATCATGAACTTATCAAGAATCTGTAATCTATATATATGTATATTTATGTACATTTATATAAATATTATTTTGAAAAGTCATTAAGCTAATGTTATCGGGCAGTGATAATGTCTCAAGAGCTGCAAGGCTCAACGATTCGTGTAGATGCATAGATATATATATATACAGAGAGCTATTGAGGTAGATTTGCATATACATATATACATATATAGATATATATAATATAATCTTGATATAGGTGCTGAGTGTGGATAAGGTGGGTGGGGCGCATGTAAACTATGGATCATTGTGGGATTAGCGCTTTTTCTTGTTATTATTTTTTTTTTTTTTTGCAAAAAAAAAAAAAAAAAAAATCTTGAATTTATTTATTTTGCTTTGCTTTGCTTTGGCTTTTGGATCGCTGCCAAATTGTGAAGAGGAAGAGCAATTATCTAAAAATAAAATGCGCTGCGCTGCGCTGTGTCGGCAATAGATAGAGAGCTAGAGCTAGATCTAGATAAATACATGCATAGATACACACACACAAACACACACACACACACATACAGCAATGCATGCATGTATTCGCCATGTATATACACTTGTATACATCTATATGCATATACTATATCTATGTATGTATATGTATCTGTGCTCGCTGCTCTGTGCTCTCGCTTAGCATCTATGAAAATACAGCTGGGTGTGTGCATGTGTGTGTGTCTTCCATACATACATGTATATACGTACATACATATGTCTCGTGTGCCACGCTGTGGAGACCGTGGGCGCTTGTACAATGCCCTGCAGCAGCAAAGCGAACCGAGCAACTGCTGCGATTGCGGTTTTAGTTTTTAGTTTTCGTTTAATTTGATTTGTTTTCGGATCTTAAATACCCTAACTGAGGCTCCTATTTTGAGCCTGACTTTAGCTGTCGAGTGTCTGAAAATGTTTTCCATAAAAAATCTCAAAATCTCATTTTATACCAAACATTGAAGCCCGAGCCAAACTTGAATCTCAGCGAATTGAATGTGTAGCTCCTTTGGGTAGATCAATAACTGTGAACTAGTTCAATTCGGTTGGAGCAATAATACTATACTACTAATTATATATAAATATAATAAATATGATAAATATGTTATGATATACTAAGTATGATATATATATATATATATATTATATATTAAATATTTACAAAAATATATGTATATGTACATATATTCAATATTTATATATAATATACATTAAATATTCATAAAAAATATATGATTTTCTATTTCTATTTAATCTATTATATATTTATATTTTTGAAATAGTATTTCTTCTCTTTGAGCTTTAGTTATAATTCTATTTATAGCTTTTCTTATAGTTTAGTTTTTCTTTTGATTGACGCTCTTTTTGTCGATCTGCTTTTAAATAAATAAATAATGAAATGGATCGATTGCATTTGTGATATTAAGTCTTTATATTGAGTGTATAGAAATAATGTCTATAAATTTCGATTTTACAGTAGTTCTTATGTCAGTCTTACTAAGTCTTTAAGTTAGGTGTAATTGTAATTTATGTCTTAAAGTTTGTTTTTCCAGCTTTCTTCCTTGGTGACTCAATCTATTTAATCATTAGGCACTGAACAAACTTCTAAATGAAATCAGCATAGAATAGTTAAAATTATATTATACACATTAAATGATATCCATCAAACTTCCAAATGAAAGCAGCATACAATAATTCTCATTCTAATTTTATTTTATTATAATTATTATATATTCCAATTTTTTTTTTAAAATTATTTATCCAAGAATTAATTATTTATTTATCAAAATATCCTGGGAAGATTTTCTTAAAAGATTATGAATTCTTGTAAGTTTTAGCTTGGATTACTTCAACTGATTCTTTTTTGGTTCTTGTATTAATATATTCATATCTGCATATAACCATATATCCACATCTCGTTAACTAAATCCACGCTTATGTCTATAGATCTCTACAAAAGCTAGTTCAAACATCTCATTTAGCTATTTCTCTCGCATGTTTTCCCCTAATACATTTCCAAATGTAATACAATTAGTTTGTTTTATGATTCATATATAGGTATGTATATTATATATAACACATATATATGTATATATCAATGTACTTTGCTAGGGTATTCAATTGAAGGCTGCCTCTCTGTCGCTTTTGTTCTTTTTGCATAAGCAAAGCGAAACAGAAAGAGAGAGAGAGAAAAAAAAAACAAACAAACAACAAACCCTGTCCCGTTGCCCATTCCCACAGTCATGCCCAGACGCAGGTCCGTGGATGATTATGGCTATTATGCGATCGCCCACGCATTGTCGAGTATCTGTGCCACATCGCGCGATCCGCCTCGGAGTAATAACTGAATGGCGACACACTCTCTTGCCCACCTCTCCGCCAGCCCTCCTCTCTCCTGCCACCTCTCGCCTGCCCTCTACTCGCTTTGCTGGTTATGTGACCATTTCAAGCATTTTATATTCAGTTTGGACAAGTCCATCATAGTCAGCCGCACCTGTTATCTGTGCAAAGTGCTCTGACGCA